CAGAGCGATATGACAACGTGCATCAATAGTTTCTTCTGTGAAACCTTGCAACCTTCTGGTATAAAGTTGTAGATATTTTTTTGGATCCCTATTTGCTCCAAAGTCTTAGAATAGAGGATATTGACGAGCACCAATTGTCGATAAGAGTTTGTCGTACACTAATTTAAGCAACTGGCATGGTAATCACCAAAGCATCACTTTGGTTTTGTATTACTCCTTAGGAGTTTTCTTCAGAAAGGCCAAACCATTCTAGCACTGCATAGTTGTGAAATTTGACCTGTGCCGTCCTATCTCATAATTTTGCCGAACTTACGCATGTTAGGCCTGCCTTCTACTTTCCTTCATTGAGCCTTCAGCATATTGGTTTCCTCCTATTAGTAATCTTATTTTTGCTCTTGATTGGGGATTTCGAACATGTTGTGCTGGAGGAACAGGCTGTAGATTTGTTTGTTGATATCGGGAGGTGGTTGACTATGGGGTGCCTAGTTTACTTCCCCTGGTTTGGAGACAAACTCATATAGTTGCCCTCGCCTGATAAGAGCTTCTACTTGTGACTTCATATCCATGCAATCATCTATATTGTATCATATCGACTTGTGGTATCGACAACATCTGTTTTGATGGCCGCATTTTTCTTTAAGGGAAGAAGTCTACAGAAGTCTCCAACTTTCATGAATACCTCTTCTAAAGAGACATTCAAAGGGTGGTATTAAAGAAACCTCTCCGAATAAGGACGCGGTCGCTCCATCTCTCTTTTGTCTTTTCTACGTTCTGGAATGGATCAACACATGTTCGTGTGTTATGAACAAATTCTTAATAAAAAGGATTCATGTTGCTCGAATGGACTAAGAAATACTGAAATCCACTAGATAACGGAAAACTGAATTATTATTATTATTAATAAAAAACGAATGAAGGATTTTTAAACCATCAAAATATATTTGAAGAGTCAAAATGAATCCTAAACAAATCGAAATTCTAATTTGGTAAACAAATTTCAATAAAATTTTAAAATTTTAAAATGACTTTGGTGGAAAGGGGAGAAACATCTCTTAAAAGATAACGATTTTCGTGCCTTGGAGTTATTTATTGTTCCAGATTTCCTACATATTTCCCAACATTACACCCCTCTCACATGGAGGGGGGCCCCACACAATAAAATATTTGTGGGTCCCCCTCCATGCGAGGGGGGTGTAATCCATTATGTAAATCACCGAGTGTACATCTAACATAATTCAAACAACAAAGCCTTCTTTTCTTTCAATAAGTTGCATCACCCTTCAATCCGTTAACTATGAGCATTTTCTAGTTAAGAACTTGCTAAAAATGGTTACGTCGTAGGAATGGCAATATGGTGAACCGAGATCAGGGACAATCATTATCATCTCCGTCCTGTCGAAAATTTTCAGGAACTGGGGCAATAGCGAGGTGGGGAATAAAAAAATTCATTTATCATCTCGTTTACCTAATTAATTAATTAATTTTTAACATTATTATTTATTTTTTGAAATTGAAAATCATAACAAATCAAATAAAATAATTCGAAATGGATTCGGAAAATTTGGGACTGGGACCATGATCCTGTCTTCGTCCCCGTCCCGTCTCGAGTCAGGACAAATGGACAATGCAGGGTGGATCCGAACACCAAATTTTACCATCATATGCTAAAGTATTAATAATAAAGAGCATTAGGTGTTTAAGTAATGTAAAACATTTGTTTCTTGTGTCCGATATGTAAATATTGACACGATAATTAACTACTAAAAGCATGTTAAGCTAAGCTTTAAATATCTACTGCTGGTAACTAAATCATTATTTGAAGGGAACAATACAGCATTCCTATGCATAAGAATTACATTTCAAAATTAACAAACTTGTCAAATTATTTCAAAAATTCAGATATTAATTTCAATTAATAATATATAATTAATTGAGACCCCACCCCACCCCACCAAATTAATAATATATCAATTAATAATGTCCCACCCTTGCCCCACGGATCCCACGCCTATTAAAAAAAACTCAAAATTTGAAAACTTTTCTCTAGATTACACCTTACCCTCGAAACCACCCACGCCAACTTGTAAAAAAGTTTTTAAAAATTAAAAATATTTAATGAAGATTACACCTCATCTCGGAACTACCTCCACCCACCCCCACGGACCCCACCTATGTCGAGATTACACCCCACCCCTACTCCATCCCACGCCAATTTGAAAAAAAAAAAAATCAAAAATTAAAAATCTTTTATGGAGATTATACCATCCCAGAACCACACCCGACCTCATCCTTTAAAAAAATTCAAAAATTTTAAAACATTTTTTAGAGATTACACCCCACCCCTATGGAATCACTTCAAATTTGTGACTATGTTATCTGTGATCGGATTTTGTTTTATTTTTTATTTTTATTTTTTTGTGACTAGACTGTTATATGTGATCAAATTTATTTTCTGTGTGATTGTTTGTGACCGTCTAATTTGTAACTGTATATAACAAAGTCACCAACTTGTGTTATATGTGACAAAGGTAATCAAATTTGTTTTCAGTGTGATTGTCTGTGATCGTCTAATTTGTAACTGTACATAACCAAATTACTAATGTGTGTTATCTTTGACTGATTGTAAACAAATTTGTCTTCAATGTGACTAACTGTGACTAGATTTGTCTTCGATGTGACTGTCTCTCATCAGGTCAATTTTAATTGTGTTGGCATGTGATCAAGTCACAATTAACACAAAATTGATCACAAACCATCACAATAAACACGTACTTGGTCACAGAATGTCACTGCAAACAAATCTACACAACTGAAGACCAATACCATAATCCACCACTATTTACTACCATCGTAACCTCCGATGCACCACCACTACCACCTTCAACTCAAATCGATGACTATAAATGCTACATTCACCTCAAATATTAACAAACATCACCAACAATTAACACCACAACCAAACACCACAGTATAAAATTCTTTCTTTTAAGGCTCAGCTAAGAATATCTGTGAATGGGATCAATAAGTAATTTAATATCATATTTTCTCAATTCATGTTTTCCTTTAGACGGACTAACTAATTTTCTATCTAATAATAATTCACAAACAAATATAGTTCTGATTCTAAAAGTCAAGAGAAGAAAAACATGAAAGAGGAAGTAGAAGGAAATTGACGCTGCAGGTCGAAAGCCATGAGATTTCTCATATCAATTTTCATGTTCGGATTTCGCCATCTCTTTCTCTATACTTGATTGTCCTTGAGAACTTGTGACAGGTGAATTCTCAATTGAATCTAGAGTTGAACAAAACTCTCGAACCGAACTGAATCGAATCGAGCGGTTTTTCATAAATTAAATACTCGAATGGGTATCTGAATCGAGAACCGACAGGTTTGGTTTAGTTCCAGACCCAAAACCGAAAAATCGAATTTAAATAATTTTTTTAATTTTTATATTGAATTAATTAAAAAAAATTAATATTTTCTAAACAAATTAGTAAATTAACTAATTTAGTGAGTAATGTTCTAACTCCTAGCCAAGTCCATCCCTAGCTAGCCTAACCCAATCCAATTTCTAAATTCAATTTTTTGATTTAATTTTTTGGTCCAATTATTAATTTCATTTTTAGCCTAAGATCTATGACTTTTTAAGTTTGTATCCTTCTCTTTCCAATTTTACACTTTCATTCGGTAACCACTGAGTTATTGACTTCAAATCATTTGACAAATTGAAAATCTACGTTTACATGCCCAAATTGAAGCCGCCGACTACCGAGTCCGACTTCCCCTCTCCAATTGCACATCAAAGCAGCGCCTCCAACCACGACCACCGATCATTGATCATTAGAAATCTATTAAAATTTTAATTATGGTACGGAACCGAACTCGAACGGTTCCATTTATTAAATACCCAAAAATTTTGGTCCGATTCGTTTCTCTTCGGAATTGAACCAAATCGGATCATGTCCAAGCCTAATTTGAATAGTGAATTTTTTTGAGAATATGTGGTTAAGAAGTAGGAAAAAATTTTGGATTTACATGTAGAATATTTTATTGTGTAAATGTGTGGTTGAAAATAAGTATGCAAAAAAAAGAGTTTTGAGAGAAGAATAATATTATTTATCATATAATGATGGAATATCGGTGATGTGACAACCCATTACTCTTCACACTTCTCTCTCTTTCTCTCTTTGCTCTCTCTCATAAAAATTTGAATGGTTCAATCTCATTATTCCACATATACTGCTACATCACCGATACTTCATCATCATAATAATAAATAGCATTATTCTTGAAAGAATGAGAGAGAAAGTCTGAGCCAAACAAAGTTAACATTAAAAATTAATTATAGTCAAATAATTTAATTGTCATAAATTAAGCAACTGTTTTGTAGAGATTAAAATCTGATTTTAATATAAGTTGACGAAATGTGTGGTTAAAAAGTGTTGATCTCATAAAATATACGATTAAAATTAATTGTTAACTTTACCTTAGATTAAAATATAAATTTTAATTTCTACCAAGCAGGGGCTAAATTATTTCATTGAAAGTCCAATGATAAAATATATGATTAAAAGTAGTTCCATAAAATATATGATTAAAATTAGTGGTTAACTTTGTTTTAGATTAAAATATTCCGAACATGGGCTAAATTATTTCATTGAAAGTTCAGTGATCAAAAATGAAATTAATCCTGTTTCATTTGGTAGTATCACATGAATAACGAGACCCTGCTCACTAGAAACTAAACCCATAGAGCCCGGTTTCCTATACATGAGAACAAAACAAAAACAGCCCACTGGAAAAGAAAAAACAATTAGAGAAACAAGAAATGTGGCAACAGAAAATGCAACTTGTATATCATGCAAACCCCTAACTCTGTATCTATACATGCACTCCAACACGTTGCACGTCGATCTTTCTTTAAAAACGCCACCTCATCATCAAATCCTCCTTCGTTCAATTCCCTCTTTCTTTCACACACAACAATTCAATTTTTTCCATGGCGGAACGTGATCGTCCACAGCCTCACCAGGTCCATGTTCACAGTCAGTCACGTTATGATCAAGGCGGCAGAATGAAGAGTGTCCTCCCAAAAAACGGTCCATCAACTAGCCAAGTTTTGGCAGTCGTCACTCTCCTTCCTGTTGGTGGAAGCCTACTGGCACTCGCCGGATTGACACTTGTCGGAAGCTTTATTGGCCTTGCTGTCACTACACCTCTTTTCATCATCTTCAGCCCGGTTCTCGTCCCGGCCGCCATTCTTGTTGGCCTTGCTGTCACTGCTTTCCTTACTTCCGGTGCTTTTGGGCTAACCGGGCTGTCGTCGCTTTCTTGGGTTGTGAATTTCTTGAGGCAGTTTACTGGGTCCATGCTGGAGCAGTTGGAGCCCTCGAAGAGGCGGATGGCGGATACGGCCATGCAAGTTGGGCAGAAAACGAAGGAGACTGGGCAGACGATACAGCAGAAAGCACAAGAAGGGAAAGAAAGTACCGGTGGTAGAACTTGAAGAAGGATGAGATTACAGAATTAAGATCCAGTTTCCATGGCTGGAAACAATGCAGTTGCTGCTGTTTTTATAAGTTTCTTGTTTATAAGCTTGCGAATTTATGGTCATTTGTGCAATTACCTGATGTTTTTCGTTCCTAATTGAATAACCGTTGCTAGCATATATGTAGCCGTTTGTTACTGTTTCGCGCGTGTTATCGTTAACAATTGAAAATAGGTTCGGCCAATTGTGTAAGGAACAAACCTCTTGAGACAAAGTTCCAAAAGTGTGTATTTTATTTATGAAGATTACAATTAAAAAGAAGCAAAACGCCTTCAAGGGCACAAACACACGAAGTAAATTGAAAGTTTACAAATAAACACACGAAGTAAATTAAAAGTTTACAAATAGAAAGTAAATGAATTGAAATTACATATTCTCTGTGGAGAGTGTTTGATTTGGAGTCCTCTCCTTCCATGTCTTCTTTTCCTTTTTATACTCCTTTGTCGGTTTTCTCTTGTAGAACTGCTTGGCGCTCTATACCTACCCACTTTCTTCGTGATGGCTACTTGTCAAGGAACTACCGTTAGCAACTGTTGTTATTGCTAGGGGTGTCCAAAAGTCCCGGACCGAACCGAACCGAACCGAACTGAGCAGTTTTTCATAAATTAAATACCCGAACGAGTATCCGAATCGAGAACCGATGTGTTTGGGTCGGGTCTCAGGTCTAAACCAAAAACTGAAGAACCGAAACTAAATATTTTTTTTATTTTTTATATTAAATTAATTAAATTATTTTATTTTATTCTATACAAATTAGCAAATTAATTAAATAAATCAACTTATTTCATAATTTTAATTTTAAAGCCCAAATCATTTTTAAAACCCATTAGCCCATTTTAATTTGAAACAAATGAATATACTTTATGTAGTTTTGCTGTAATATTAATATCTATTTTTTGGTATTTGTATGCATTGAATTAATTTTATTGAACGGCTAGTTATTTATATGTTTTTGAATTGGACTACGTTAATTTGTAAAAGTTACGAATGAAATATCATTAGTTGTATTTATGTAGTGTTGTTGTAAATATTAAAAAATTTGATTATGGTACGGAACCGAACCGACCCGAACCGAACCGAACCGAACCCGAACAGTTCCATAATTATATTTGGACCCGACGGGTCCATTTATAAAATACCCGAAAGTTTTGGGTTGGTTCGAGTCTCTTCAGAACCGAACCGAACCGACCCACAGACAGCCCTAGTTATTGCTCGTTTAACCGCTTGTAACCGAGATTCTTGGATCTTGGGGTATGATAAGATTGTTCAATAACCGCTTCAATAACTGAACAAAATGCTATATTCATTCAAACATTTGGCGTCTCGAAGGCTTGGGCGAGAGTGAGACCGTCGTTCTAAGCAACGATAAGGCACTCCATTCGCTCAGATCCTGGGCATTCTACAGGCTTGGGCGATGATAATCTTCTGCTCATGGGCTATCACTATACTTTACAATGGTCTCATTTGGGCCCATTCCTCAATTTTCCTAACTGGGCTCCATTTCTTGGACCACATAATTGGGTATTACTTAATAATTGTGCCTCATTTTTGTATGTCAACAATTACCCTCCAATATGGCAAAATTAATGCCAAGTATTAATTTTATGCCATATTCTTTTTCGCAATGCTTGCTTTCTCGAAAAAGCTGCGAAAAAGAGCGGATAATTGTAATGATTATTTACATTTGGTGGTAATCCTTAAAAATTGCAACATCAAGGACACACCACTCGTAGATCGAAGGACACACCACTCGTCGCGCCATTAACCTACGTCTCTACATTTCGTGCTTCTCTCTCACTATTTACTGTTCATCTTCTTGCTTCCCTACTACTTTCTTAAGCAAATCTCATAGAGACTGTATTTTGCATCAAATGGAGACTTCACAAACTCCTTCTGATAAGTCTCTTAGTTTCGAGGATTTCCAAAACCTCCTCACCAGGCCATATATAAACTCAAACTTTCTTTCATCGGCCAACCCTGACCTCCATGAGTTTTATCTAGGTCCATCATTTAATGAAGCTGAATCTATCGGACAAGCAGCGGTGGGTCAGCGGTTCCCCTGCACTCAAGGCCTTCCGTTTCTCAACTCTTTGCCACTAAGGCCTATTCGCGAGAAAGGTATTCGCACTTGGTCAAAAACTGATGTTATTTTTCGTAGGTGGCATGCATGTCTGGTAAATCATGGCCCTACCAAGGCGATTTTTTATCGCGCTAGGATTTCAGATTTATTAGAAATCGCTCTTCAACCCCTAATTTTCGACCCAGTGCTTTTTTCTATTGCTTTGAGTTTTTGGTTTTCTGAATATAATACCTTTATTTTTCCGCTTGGTCCAATGTCTATTACCTTAAGGGACGTTGGAGACCTAGTAAATCTTCCGCCCTTGGGCGATACCATTTTTTCTGGTATTTTGGTTACTAGCATTGCTCCAAATTTTGACAAAAAACTGACTGAGTACTAATCAGGCATGCAAGGACTTTATAACCATTCTAGCGCTGAACCTTCCCATGCTGAGTGTGTAGCCTTTCTTCAAATTTGGCTTTGTAAATATATTCTTTGTGTACCCAGTATAAAACCTTCTATAAGTTATCTACCCATAGCGTATGAATTGGCGCATGGTAGGTCTTTGAATCTCTGTTCATTATTTTTAGCCGCCTTTTATAGAGGTATGGCTTCCCTCCAATTTCAATTGAGGAATGGTGCATCTCCCACTAGCAGCGGGTTTCTTTGACTCGCTCAATTGTGGTTGAGAGCATACTTTCCACAACTTGATGCTCCATCTACTCCACTTTGTTCTGCTAGTTGTTACAAGCTGGCCATTGACCCATTAAACCCTGTAAATATGTCCATTCTGCTAGTTGTTACAAGCTGGCCATTGACCCATTAAACTCTGTAAATATGTCCAATAGGGATGTTTTTTCATTCTTTTATAGCTTATAGTCAATCCCTTCCTTTTTTTTCCCTTTCCTGCTCATTCACCTCCAGATTATGTGCAATCTCTGTCTACTATGGACAATGTGAGCACATTTTTGCCTGTTTGGATTCAATTTTTGATTGGGAGAGAATTATTCCACGACATCTTAACTGGAACAAATGCCAAGGCCGGGATTGAGATATATGCTTCCCAGTTTCTTGCTCGTCAACTTGATTTTGGACAAACTTGGTATGTTCCTCCTTGTTACTCTAAAAGCTTGATACACGTTTCCATACTATTAATAAAGCAGAAGCACAAGCTATTGATGCCCGTAACATTCTTCTGGCAAGCAGACTTCTCATTAGCCCCTTGCAAGTCTAGCTCTGATGTTCATCCTCTTTTTGAACAACTCTGGCCGTCTGTGAAGCGCAGGTTATTCACTCCTGATGTTAACCATGCCTTCCACCTGTTGGAACGGCCAGCATCTTCTTCTGCTTCTCCTATCTTTGTCGATCCTATGTCTATCAAGAATCCTTCTTCACTTGCTCACACTAAACATTTGGCCCTTCCATCTACTTCTCCTCCTGCTCGAACTAGTGCAGCCCAAGGTGCTTCCAGCCGTAAATGGCCAGCCCTACCTTCACCAGTTTTGCCAGATGATGATGATGATGCTCCTCTCATCATCAAGAGAAAGGTATTTGAGCCTGTTTATTTATGCACCAAATAATTCTTCGTAGGCTAATGTTTTACCTGAACTTTCAAAAAAGCTCAATTTCCCCATCCAAGGTTCTGACTCTAGCATCCCCTACTTTATCGCCTTCTGCTAAAGCTGCTTCATCCAAGTCATCTGATGCAGGGACTCTGCTTAAAGAGAAATTCGTAGTCCTAGAGTCTTTCTTGTACCGTTGGCCTTTGATTTATTGCTTCTGGAATTTTGTAGAGGTTCACATAGATCTGCTCGTTGTGGCAGAGTCTACTCATCCAGATAAGGGGAAGTCTCCACAGGTGGCTGAGTCAACCGGTGACGTACCCGAACTTTCCAAGGTTGCTGATGAGGTAGTATTCGTTTCATTTTTTATCTTGACTTCATTTACTGCAGTGAGAATGCTAAATGCTTGTATTTCTCTTTATAGGATGTAGATGTCATCTGCACTCCATCCGGGACTTGTTCACTTCTTGGGAACAAGTAAAGACATATCGCCCTTCTTCAACTAGTCATCCTTCTGCTTCATCTTCTACTTTCTCGGAGGAAAATATGAAGACTCTCAAGCAATTAGTGTTTGAGTATATTTCTTTTATGGACATAGATATCGGCAAGGCCAGTGCTGCCAAATAAAAAGAAAAATTTGATCTTTTGAGTGGGAAACTTGTGCAAGCACTTAAACTTCCGCCGCTCAACATTTCATCTGACTTTAAGCCGACGTTGAAGATTATCCATTCTGAAATCATCTCTTTGTTAGCCAAAAATGCCAAATTGAAGGCCAGGAGTACTCAGTGTCTTCATGATGAATCTGAAAATGAGTCTTTACTTCAAGAGATTGATAAAGCCAAAGCCGACCTATACGAAATCTCCTCTGAAGTTATGATTGAAGATTCTTTGATGATAATCTTAGCTGCAGAGATGAAGGAACTTCAAACAAAGATGGACGACTGCAGGGCATGTTTCCCAAGGAATTGAGCAAACCAAGTCTTTGGTTGAGCGTTATATAAAGCTGGAGGTTGATGAGGACGTTGCAACTGAGTTGTCTATTGTTTCTTCTAAGCGAATCGAGGAGTGGGAAAAGTTTAGGGAACAAATGCGTTCAGCTTGGGGTGAATTGTAGCTAAGACATTGATGCCTTAATATCACATTTGGTATGGGAGATATAGGAAATGTTCTTTAGCCAATAAAGGTATTCTCAGTGCCTCCATTTATGTTCTCCAGAGGAAGTTCTTGATGGAAGACGATTTGCGAGTGCTTCTCAGGCCACTTGCCTGTTGAGAGTACTTCTCAGCCTTCTTGCCTGCCATTACAGCAATGCAATTAGGAAGGCGATTTGAGAGTGT